CAATTGTAACACTGTGTCGTATTTACTTAACGTGGGGCAGTTGCACTATATTTTAGAGGAGGGCACAATTATTAATTAATAGGCATTATTAGGCCAGAGGAAATTTTGCGCCCCTTCACACCTGCGCCCGGGGCGACTGTCCCCTTTCCTCTCTCTTGCTACGCCACTGGCCTTGATTGTGTAACGTCTTTTCTAAGCTTACTTCCGCCTTTCTGGGTCACAGGGAGAAGGCCTATCATGCTCAACTGGAATAAATAGTAAAACCAACTGGCCGGTTGTGTGTTTAATATAATGCTACATCGGCAAAGAGCCCGTCAAAGAATTCGTGGCCCCGGAGAAACATCATAGTGGGGTAATAACCCCTTCTCTACATATTAACTTGTTTGTATAAGTACCGTATCTAATGAGAAAATTTGAATTAAATAGGATTGTAAAGAAATGACTCGCAAATATTGAATAATAGTAGTGTAGTTGATGTTTGTTTATTTGTTGAGCGTTATTCAGTAATCAACAAAGAACAACTTTGAACATACAAACATTTGCTACAATACGGCAACAAAAGCACTAATGAAGCTGCTTACCTTTCTTGAAAATGAGTAGAGACGTATTAATTATTGAAACTGTGAATTAAGTCAAATATGCAAAACAACCCCAGTATACGTTCAATCACTTGGAATAGCCCTCCAGTGGCACAGCGGCATGTCTGCGGACTTACGACGCTAGAAACGAGGTTTCGATACCTGTGGTGATCAGAGCACAGATAACCCTTGTGTAGCTTTGTGCTTAATTACAAACAAACAAACGAATACTTGGAATAAGTTTTCATGAGTGTTATTTTCTTTCAATTTTTTCTTTTTTTTTTTTTGTAGAAAACATAAACCTGCTTGGATATAAAAATTGATACTCTGTGTATTCAAGTTCACAGGTATCCGATAGATGGTTACAAGAATCTGCAATACATGAATATATGTTACAGAAATGTTATACGAAATAATAATTCAACACGGACAGCAAAGGAAACATAAGTACACGTAAACAAATAAAACAAAACCTTTATTCACGATAATGTTTACGTTAGCTTAATGGTAGGCTTCTTGTTGCTTTAACTCGAATTTACTGCTGGAGCTGGAGGGTTGTTTCAAGTTACATCCGCACTAAACAAGAATCAAAAAGTATAATGTTATACCATGCTTTCAGGCCAGACTAAAGGTTCCTAGTGCGGTATCACAGTTTTTATGTTACCTACGTCAGTGACTATCCAAGGAAGAGAACCCTTAATTCATAGCAACTTGTACAAGTATCTGTATTATTTTTTGAGATGGGCTTGCCCTGCTTCAGGGAGTAGGCACAAACACAGGGAAAAACTAGTACAAGCTTCTATCTATGAGATAACTGTTGCCATATATAACCTTTACCTAAACAAAATTATGAATGCATTTTTACCACCATTTGACATTCAGTTTATAAGGATGTCATTTACTAAGTGCATAACACCTATGTGAAAAGTTACAAAAAATTACTTGAATACACCTTACTCCAAATATATTCTAAATTAGTTCTGGAAAAGTGAAATTATGAGTTATTTAAACTGACAGTAATATGTACTGCTGAGCACAATTTATCTGCAGTAAAATATTCTAGCACTTAAAATTTTTTAAAAATATATATGTTTCTACTTTAATAAATTACGCTGTTTCTCAACTTTAACTTGCTCCAAACAACAAATTGCGCGACACATTTTTAAACGCTTCCAAACAAACGAAATATTTTTACATGTATCATTACTTGGTGTCCAAAAAGCAAGATATGACGTATGATATTCTGCCAAAAAAGACTGTCATTATAGTGTACAATTGGGTGTGTTCATATCAATCGGCTATAAGAAAAAAAGTTAATCCACGACCGATTTCGTCAGTATAGTCTGTATTAGGTGAAAAAAATCGGCACTATAACGTTAATTTCGTTTTGGTAGTTTTAAAGCATTTTTTCTTTGTTTATCCTAGGTTATCAATAAGTTTCTGATTAATTTTTAAAGAACTGGTGTAATCAAGTTTACTTCTTATGTAGTCTTGTCCGTAATTTGGTTTATTGAACTCTTTCCTTAAGTTATAACTTTCTGGCAATGTGCCTGCATTAGTGTTATAACTGGTTAATAACATGGAATGTTCATTTGTATAAATCACAAAGAACTAATCTGGATCTGATCATTAAGTGAATTGGAAACAGGTGTTAGAGGAATTAATACAAAAACAAGAGAGAATCCTCAATAGCCGCAGCACTGAACTTCTTTTAAGCAGGATTAGAGTTAATTAATCTATGAGACTTGTTTTTCCTTTTTATTAGCTATCTTTTTGTACGCCAGCAATACCAAGCGTAGGGCGCGCGTATACCCGATTCAATTTTATTACTCATCAGGATCTCTACCAACCTACCCTCATTTGAAATTATTTTAGGCAAAATTAGAGTAAATTAATCTATGAGTCCTTGGACGTTTTCAAATACATCAATCGAAAAGTTTGACCTCCATAGTCAAAAACTATAATTAGAACACAAATCGGTCAATAGATAATAGAGCTATAAGCTAAAAGTTTGTACTTGAAAAACAAAAACAAAGTCAGAGCCGTTCTATGAGCCGCTATGCTGCGGCTAAAAAAGTTTTCTTGTCTAAAATTTACTTGTTATTTGTATGGTTTCCACATTTTTAACAATTGTAAGTTTTCAGAGAGGACTTCTATCATCGGTTTTAATAGAAATAGTTGTAATTGCTTAGATTCCATGTTACAAATTTGTACATTAATATCATATTAATATTGAGCTTAACCGTTACAAAGTATAGATCCAGAACAAATCTCGATAGATCAAACAATCCATTCATATTTAGTATTTCTAGGACATTATTTTTATGAGAAAAGAAACTAACAAATATTCGGCCACGATGTATTCTGTTTATAAACTCTTCAGTTGCGTCACACAAATCTCGTTTCAAGTTTGCCTCAGTGTTTTTCCGAGAAAATGTTTCGAGCTCAATGATGGTAACAATGAAACTTAAAACTAAGTTAAGAGTTATCAATGTAATAATTTAATGTCTTGTATAATACTTGTGATACAAAACGTTTATCAAACGTTTTCAATCGCACGAACTTCTTGAAACAAACCTATTTCGAAAAATGTTGGCTGTGTATTTTTCATGTATATTAAATTTTTGCTATTCCTATTCACATATACAAAGCTATGTTGGAGAACATTTCATTTATATCTACTACATCTATGTATATGATCATCAATTAATGATATACTATAGTATAAACTGCGAAAGGTAGCAAAACATATATATTTATATATGTATAGTCGAACTGGATTTTCATAAAATGATACTTATTTTTCTTTATATATGCATTAAATCATGGGTAAAAATAGTTCCTTGTAATGTTGTATTTTTGTGTATCTTGAATTTCTCTATAATGTATTGACAAGTAACAATTTGCTGTTAAACGGGAAAAAAATAACATCTGGTGTATTTTAACTTTTGTTAAAGCAATAGTGGGTCTTTTTTAATTGACGTTTTTCTCCCATATGTTACTACACAGCCAACTAATTTTAATGTATAATATTTTTCTTGGTTACATACGTGGGTTGTGCCGTAAATAAAGTCGCAACAACTAGTAAACATGGATGCTTATCATGCGGATTAAATATAGATGACGTTCTACGTAGAATTTGAAACAGTTTTAGCCAATTATTGGAAATAAATTGTTTAATCAAAATGCACTTATGTATTTTTTCATTGGTTTCAGAAACACAAGTCGACAGTCGCCATAAAATGTATAATGAAGAAAAACTTGGCAAAGTCACAAAATCTTCTAGCAAAAGAAATAAAAATTCTAAAGGTTTGTTGTTATATTTGTTTTTTGTTACTAGTTAAAATAATTATGTAAGTGATACGGTTTTTGTTGACTCATCATGTATCTTCTTTTGTTCATTAACAATGCTTTGGAGTATATATGTTTATTCTTTCCTCCGGTCTAAGACGCGACATATTTGTTTGAGCGTGATTCTTTTTTGTTTACAGAATTCTCATGAGATTCTAAATAGTTTTGAGTGTGTCGAGATGTTTGGGGTTTTATGTTAGGTAAAAAAGTGTGTCAACAAATTGTGTATAGACTTCATCTAACTTATCTTAAAGAAGTCCTTATCAATAAACAGGGAAAAACAAAGGATAGAAATATACACATTTCCTTTGAAAGTGTTTGTAAACATATCAACTCTACGTGTACCCATAAAACTAAAACTTTTAACAATACGGAAATACAAGCGAGTAAGTACTCGTGACACTCAAAATAAAGAGGGTCGCTGTCTCTTAAACTTCATATACACCTCTAGTAATCTATACCTCTGAGCTACATTTTTTGTTTATTGGGAACGTGGTCCAGAAACAACAAGAACCTGCGCTCTGAGAATTGTGCAAGGCGCGTAGTTGTGAAGGCAGTTTGACTTTTTAGACGTAACAAACTGTTTAATATGTATGTGTACAAACAGGTCGATAGATGTACTGCTATATATAAAAAACAAATAAATTATTTGCCCTTCACATCCAAGGCCCGTGTTGGATGAACAGATGCGCCAGGGTTATCACAAAATCATATTTTTCACTTGTGCGTCATCATGTATTAAAATACTTAAACAGAACTTAATTTCAAATTTTTGAGTCTTCAATAGCAACTGAGATGTGTAACATGAAACTGCGTAAAGTGTATACCGATATGCCTTGACCTGCGTAAAGTGTATACCGATATGCCTTGACCTGCGTAAAGTGTATACCGATATGCCTTGACCACGCCCTTGTATAACAATTTAACAGGCCTTTGCCCTCAATGTAGCTGCTTTTTCTCGTGGAAATATTTATAGGTTTCATAACAATGTAATCTCTGTGTTAATTAAGCTTTGCAAAACACAGTTATAATCAGTTGGTTTTTTACAAAGTACCAAATTTTTGTAAACACGGGTATGTTTACAAGAAACAATAACATTCGCTTATTAATGACAACGTTCTTACAGTACTAACTAGCTATTTAGTTGCTGTGTGTGTGTGAAAGATGTGCACGATTACTACATTTCGTTGCCGTTGAAAACGATCATTTTATTTTCTGAACCGTAAGTAGTATCTCTTTTTTAATATTTTGTTATGTGTATCTATATTTGTTTTGTGACATTACGTCAGGTGTGTGTATGTTTGTTTTGTATCATTACATCATATGTGTAAATCTTTCTTCTTCTTTTTTTCAACTTTGTTAGTTATACTAGTTTATTAAATTACTTGTTTGGCTAAGAAAATGTTGTCAAGAAATGTATGTTTATATAGTGTGTTTATATGGAGATTGTTTTGTTACACCGAACTCTTGTTTGCAGGAACTGGCTGAATTGAATCATGAAAATGTCGTCGCCCTTTTGGATTGCAAGGTATAGGATCTGTTTAAATTCGTGACTTATTTATTTAGTGTTTTTACAGAAGGATTAATATACAAATACTGAAAGGTAGATACATGTAGAAGGTAAAGATACAGATAATAAGGTGGACTGAAACATGAATACATATAAGAGGATTAAGGTAGTCAGAGATAATGAGATAGATTTAAAATGGATACATATCGAAGTTATGTATAGATGTAGTAGAATAGATAAGTGGGTGTATATAAAAGAAATAAATATATATAGAAAGAGACTGCTAAAAATTTCTTTAAATGACAGACAGGTGCTTCATTAAAATGACAGTTATGTACACATGTATTAATTAAATGTTAAGTTGATAGTGCTGTAGACTGATAAGCGGACACACACACAAACACACACACACACATATATATATATATATATATATATAGGTACACGTATTGATTTAATGGCGTACATGGGC